CATGCTTGCTCTTTCTTCCCTGCCGAACCTGTTAGGAAGGTGAGGCACAGCCGACCCTGTGGAGCTTAAGAATGAGGTCAATTTACTTAGCAAACTTTCTATTAGTTTAAACAGACCTTTGCCATATAAAAAGAAAGGTGGATTCACTTCCATGACCTTTTGCTTTCCTACTTGATGAGATTTTTCACCTTCACATGATAGCCCTACTCAGTTTTTTGCACATGAGCCTGTAGCACTCAGTGAAACAAAGTTGCATGTTCAGGTGGCTGTGGAATAAAGTGACCCATGTTTCCCATATTGCTCACCATCTCTCCGGGGCGCCTGCAGCACCGAGGCATCTGTGATGGCATGAGCCCACCTCTCAGCCTCCTGGAGGTTGGAGAGCGGGTCTTGCGCCAGCGCGACCCGAAAGCACTGCTCCACTCTCTGCCGGGCCACTCCGGTACTCATCCAGCGCCTCTTGAACGGGTAGAAGTAGGCTGTAAAGTAGGCGCCGACGTCCGCCTTGTCCGGTCCCCTGAACGCCCGGCAGCCAATGCAGTCGGCCAAGTTAAAAACCACCTTAGTCTGGTCAGGTGACGAGGAGATCCTCTGGATGGTCAGAGCGCTTTCCGTTAAGATCACCGAATACCGGACCCTGTCATTGAGCATGTCGGTGAACTCCCCGTATAACATGACCACGACTCTGTTCTGTTTGCAGGATGGGTCCGGTTCAGAGGCGTCTCTCTCCATCCCGGACGGAGAGTGCCACGCGTCCCGCAGGCCGGTGCGCGGTTGGCGGTGCGTGCGGACACTACTCCGACCAACCTGCTGTGGCACTCTGAGAGGGATAACAGCTGTCTTCCTACAGTAGTTCAGAGTCTCTCCCTAGTGACTGAAAGGGGAACGGCAGTGAAGGAGCTGGAGGAGAGAGGAGACCAACTGCTCCTCCTGATAACCAAGTTGGCTACAGCCCATCATGAACTTGTCATTTGAAAATTCAACTACAGGCTACACTGTCTTAAAATCCAGAATTTTCCATATTGTCTGAATAAACGTTACTGGCCAGAAACCTGTTGCAGGGTCCCAGGAAACCTATGTTTATCCTGCTTAAATGATAATAACATCTAAATGTTGATCATATTCCGATTTTTAAAACACATTAATTGCTTAGCATAAGTAGCCAAACTTCATCCCTGATCTAAGAAATGGTAGTTTGGAAAAACAATCCCCAATTATTGTGCAGTTTTCTGGAGCTTTCATCTCATGATGACTTTAACAACTGACCAGACTACCAAACAACATATAAACTAGTCAAAATAGTTCTTCCACCACTGAATTAAGAATCTTTTCTTGTCATTTTCTTCTGCAACTACAGTTTTCCAGGATGTTTGCAGTATCCTTATGATAACTTTTGTTGTGTTGTATGTATTCATGAACTTATTGTTACATTATTAAACAACCGCTTGACCACGCCCAACCAGCAATCACGTGGGATGTGACGTTTACAACGCATCGAAATGTTACAACGCGAGACTTCCTTTCACTGAGGGAAGAAAGCCGGGAAGGTGTGAACATGCAGACTTCATACATTGTGATGCGTTTATGTCTAAATATGAAGTCTGCAGCAGACAGCCCGTCGTGAACCAGGGATGTGGAAAGGTAACGTTAATGATTTTCTGCGTGTTTAATGTGACTTACGTGTATTGAAATCTGGAGATGGTTTCATATGAGCCGTGCTAGTCGGCTAGCTTTTAGCCCTCCATTAGCCTGGCAAACACGTGCACGAAGGAGAGTATGCTGAGCTTAAGTTAAATAGTGGTTGAGGCGGTGATTTAGTAATGTTAAGCCAGATAACACGTCAACATTAAACTGTCTGTCACGCAGAGTTGCGTGAGTAGAAGATTAAATGCTAATTTGGTTATATCGTTTCTATAAAATCATGAACGTGGCCTCCATTGGTCGTCAGCTTATGTTCCGATTTCTTTAAAGTCTTACTGACTTAATACATTTGATCATTCCAGGCAACTTTGGATGACGTGGAAGCTAACCTTCCTACCAACAAAGGTCATACAAGGTAAAAGTGGCTTAAAGTGATAGTATAATTTTTACTCCCGACTTTCTGCAGTGTACATGATGAGTTTGTTATCCCTGTCTGAAAACAATGTGGAAACCTATGGTATCTGAACTTGTGCAGACTGGTGTGTAAAGCCACATGCTGCTGATGAATGGTCACTAATCAGATGTTTTGTTGCAGGTCCCTGGTTTTCTTTCCAAGGAGGCTGCAGTGAAAAGGTATTGTACTTACAACAATGTTTGTGCCAAAGTGCCCACTGTTGAAAACTGCTGTATAGGAAGTGATAACTGATGACGAGAAGAGCTGTTAACACCTGTTGTATTTTGGTGTCTGTGCCCTGAGCACCTAATGATTCAGGTGTTTAATTTTCTCCATACAGATGTCACAGCAGTAAAGAAAGATAAGAAAAAACACGGGGCCTGCGATGATAGGAACCAGGTAAATTCAGCAAGCCTGACACTAAAGGTCAAGCCAGTGATGATACAAGTTATCCCTGTCTGAACTCAAGTGTAGACTCATGGTAACCTGAGGTTTGACCTGACCTGCAGCATGAGAACAGCATTAGATGACTGTTGGAGTTTGGTATAAAAACTGAAAATGTTTGACTTTTATTTTTGGGCAACTTTCAGATGAAGTCAGCAGGGAAATGACCACGACCCCAGTTTGGGACTGATCCAGAAGCCTTGATGCCACAGGAAAATATCAAATGCAGTAGATTGGTTTATATGCAAATTAAGAATCATGTTTGATCTAAAACGTTTAATAAAACTAAGATTGTGTATAAAAGTCATATAGGCACATTGAGGTATTAAGTATATTGACAGTAACCTGAATTTTACTGGGAACGCCCAGAACACATTGGTCAGTCTGTGATGTAGGATGATCTGTAAGATTTCTTCTTCAGGTTTTCTAGAAAGATCTGCTCTTCTAGGAGGAATTCGCGGTCCTGGGGGAAGAAAAAAAACACGAGTTACCTGGGAGAGAAATTGAAATGTTTTAGGATAATTGTTTCCAAGATGTTTCAAATGTTCATTTGCATCTATTGGCACAAATTGTGTTAAATGTGTTGAAAGGCTGATTATGGAGGAGCTACAGTATGTTATAACAACCTGTTGTGATGTAATAACAAAACTCCTGGATGAAGCTCGTACAATAAAAGCCTATGCAGTAACTACGTGAGTTAATCTGTAGTTAAGTGTGTTTAGGACTTCGCTCTTAAACAAGTAGGACATGAGTTGATCAGATGCTATCGTGACATAATGGTACGAATCAAGCTCTGGTTAACTTGCAACACACACAGTAGGTCAAGGATGGCTGCTGATTTTGTGCTCTTATGTAAATGTAACAATGTGTGTCTAAGAGATTTGTAGAGGCTGTGTCTCTAATATCTACAGCAGTAGTTTTCAACCAGTGGTCTGTGGATCCTTAACGGCCTGTGAAGACACGGCAGGTGGTCCCTGACTGTGTATTCAATGAGTTGAATTACATTACAATTGCAGTGTAATTGTGAATAATCAAATTATGCAGATAGGTAAAATTTAGAGAAGCCAATGTGATTTTCAGGATTAAAATAGTGCCAGTCTGGTCTAGCTACCCCACAACAGTGGTCCCTGGGTCACAATCAGTTGAAAACTCCTGATCTACAGCAAATGATCACATGACTACACTTTGAATACAGTGACCGACCAGAACTGGAAACTTGAAGTCAGTAGTAGTTACGATGGGACTGGGTACCTTTTCTGCAGTGTACCTCCACAGTGCCAGACTGGCCTGCAGCGCCATGGACTCAGAGCTGGCAAATGAAGTAGGAGGGGGAATATTCAGGGTTGATGCCAGCTCAGGGTTCAGCATCGCTGAGCTCAAGTCTACAGATGGAAGGACAAGGTTGTTAACGTTCATCACACTAAATGGTCTGTACTAGTCTGAGGTATGAGGTTCTAGTTTCTGTTGAACGATAGATTTTCCAAAAGGTTTCTCACCTGGTAAAATGGGTGGAATACTTTGTGGTAAACCTATAGCAGGAGTTTCCTGTTTCAGCCTTTCTGTCTCCTTCTGCAGATTTAATCCTTTTCGATCCTGTAACATAAACAGTACTTAGTGCTATGCATTTATTCCAAACAGTATATGTTGTTCATATCAACACACACACACCTGGAGGATTCGTTGTTCTTGCTGCCTCAGCCGCTCAGTTTGGATATGGATGTTTCTGAGCCGTGCCTCATGCTCAGCTTCCACACGCTTTCCCTCCCGCAACGCTCGTTCTCCTTCGTCAAACTTCTCTGCAGCAAGCTGCAAAAAAAAAACGCGGGCGTGGTCATAAGTCTAATATTATGTACTTTACTCCACTATGTGTAGAGCTGATTTACCTTGCTGAACGCCTCCACCTCCTGGGCTCGTGCTTTGAGTCTCAGGGCAGTGCTGCTTATTTTCTCTTTCTCTCTGTCTAGTTCTTCTCTTAGTCTCTCCAAAGTTTCTCGCTCCTGTGCCACAGCCATCTCCTTCTGTTTTAGCTCTGCAGTACGAAACTTTAGGTCAGCTTGTTCCTACGATAGAGTGAAAACAGTACTTATTACATTTTTGTTTGGAGCGAAACAAAATTTACTTAAGATATATGTTCTGTTACAATTAATGTCAATGAAGTCTTAGAGACACAAACATGTTTCCCAAATTTCTAATTTATAGGCTTTTTCAAATAAGAGTAGCAGGTAAGCAAGACTGTCGTAATCAATAACAAGATGCTCATCTTTCCTCCACTGTGAAGCTCACTTGTGCCAGACTCATGATGGAGCCCTCTCTCTTCTCCAGGAGACTGCTGACCTCCCGTTCAGCCCTCTCACGCCTCTGCTTCTCCTGTGTGTGGAAGTGGGCCCACTCAGCCGCCAGCTTCCTCCTCTCCTCCGCACAGTGCTGCATCACTGACTTCTGCTCCTCCAGTAATGCGCTCTGATGGAAGGAGACAGACAGAAGAAAGAGCATGTGTGAAAGCAAGATAAAGCTCGTGTCTGTTATGTGTACTGATGCAGGTGTTTGTCAGCCTCACCTTTGCTTTTTCCAGCTCCTCTCTCTCCATATTGAGTTGCATGCTAAGGGAGCGTCGCTCTTCCTCTAGGCCTCTTTGGGTTGACTCTGCTTTGGCCTGCTCCGCTGTCATCTTCCAACGCTCCTGAGGTATACAAAATAAAAAGTGGCATCTTCAGTCTTTCAGAGGAGCACATCAGTTTTAGTCTTTTCAGGTGTTTCTATGTACACACTTGTACTATGCTGTTATGTCAAAGTAAATGCTGGAATCCTAATAATACTCTGTACTCTGACCTTCTCAAGCTGTCTCTGCTGCTCATTGAGCTGAGTGTCCATCCTGGATATGATTTCCTTGAGGTACGCTCTCTCCTTCGCCGTGGCTTTCTGCTCCTCAGCCAGACGATTCTGCAATGCTGCAACATACATTTAGTAGAGGATGACCTTAACCCACTTGCAATTTGATACAACTATGCCCTCGGACAACTTGTATCTTAAGCTATTTTGTACAGTGTATGCATGTGTGTGTCTGTCTGAGGTACTTCGAAGCTGCTCGTCTCGGTGCCGTGCCCCCTGCTCCAGGCTGTGGGCTGTGTGTTCATGTGTGCTCTCCACCCGAGAGGAAAGCTCTCCCAGCCGAGAGGAGAACTGCTCCATCTGCTCAATCACCACCGCAAGTGACCTGGACAAGGGTAGATATTACAAAAATCTCTGAAATCTTGACCAAGATTGGATGGTCAATCATAAATGACTATATGTGGAAAGGTAGCAATAAAAAATCTAGACTGTCAAAATAAAATAAAAAGACTTTGCAGTTGTTTGTTTATGCCATACTTCAGTCTTTGGATCTGGTCCTCATAGTCTTTCTTCATCTCCAGGATAGATTTTCTTTATGCAGAAGTAGAAAACATACTGTGCTCATTCTGGGACTTCCTGAGTTATTCTACTGAGATATCTGGATAGTTAGGTTGAGTAAAACCCAAAGCAGGTCTTTTGACATCAGCCAGTATCCCAGGAATACCCAGGAATCTGAGTATTAATCATCAGGGTTGTCCAGATAACCCATCAAAGCTACAGAATCAAGCCCTTGATGTTAATAAGCACTAAACCGCATTATGGAATATAAAGATTAAGCTGAATGATTTGATTGGTCCAAAACATATTTGAATATTTTTGTCGATTTTGCCTGTCAAACTCTTTTGTATGTGTATTACTTTAATGATGACTTTACAGTCAGTAAATATATTGTAAGCTGTTGAACAAATGTGTTAATACAGTATTTACTGAGTCTATTGCTATATAATTGATCTGCTGCTGTAGAAAAGGCATCCTGGGTCTACCTCTGGAGATCCCTGAGTCGCTCCACCTCACGACCTCTGTCCTGCTGGGCCTGGGCCAGTTTGCGCTGGTACTGAGCCTGCAGCTCTGAAAATTCCTGCTCGGCCGATCGTGTTACTGAGGCCAGGCGTTCCATTAGGTCTTCACACTCCTGTCTCGCTCGTGTCTCCCTCTGGGTTGCTGATTCCTCGAGCAGCTTGACACGACTCCTGAATGTGCACAGGAATAAATACAGTGTGCGTTAAGCATAGAGATAGGCATACACCGCTTAAATACAGGGAATATATAGTATGTGTGTGCGTGTGAACACAGTACATTGATTTTACTGACAATCTCTGGGAATAAATTACATGTGCATGTTTTCCACGAGTTCCAAATCCTGTTTATGCCGCTGCTGGACACTCTCTAGCAACATCTGGCTCTGGTCTCGCTCAAGCTGCAGGGTCTTCACCTGGATATGACACCAGTTTCAGGCTGGAGATAGGCAGCAGTGACAAACACATTTCCCAACAGCACCATGTTAGCATTCATATACCTGCCCCTCCAGCTGGATGATGCGAGCCTGTAAAGCCTGATAATCTCCAGGTTGCTGCTCTTTGTCTTTGAGCCTCTGCAGCAACCCTGCATCCACAACACCCCCGAGACCCAGCAACTGAGTCTGCATCATCTTTTGGAAAAAGGGTCAGCAAGTCAAAAACAAACCTGTGATAAACATTAATCTGAAGGGAGAGTATGTAAGTATTTAAGTAGCTTCTTACCTGCTGTTGTAGTAGCAGCTGCTGCAGACTGTCTGCTGAAAACATCACCTATTCAGAAGATATGGAAGGGCTTATTAAGGCTTTATTAAATGATGCCCTAAATCATGACAACCTTAATATAAAAAAGCATGAATACCTGTTGCTGGACAGCAGCTGTAGTGTTTTGCATTTGCTGTGGAACAGCTGAAAGAAAACAGACATGAGTAACAATCACACTGAGGTGCTCACTTTGGCTGTTATGGATCTCATAAGAGTACAGCATGCCGTAGGAGAGCTTTCATTTGGCAGAATTTTGTGAGAATGACAGGATAACTGATTATTGAACAGGGTCAAATAGTTGAAAGGTCCTAATGTAAATGTGCAAAGTTTTCTCTGGCAGAAACGTGACTTGGAAAGATAACATTGCTTTGCTGAATTCATCATTTTATGATCACACAAACCTGAAGAGTAATCATTTGTATGGATCACCTTGCAGCTGAGTTAAATACCTTGCTTGGGCCTCTCGTTTCTAACAGGGGTGGAGTGAGCAGTGGGGCTGGCCTGTCCAAAGAATGTGGTGCTGCCCAAAACAAAAGGAGAATTTAAAAAAAGCAAAATAATGCCATGTACAAGAGATTAATGGATTTACACAACAAACATCTTACTTAGTTTCCTTGGCAGATGCGAGTGTGTCCTCTCTGCCCCCAGTAGCCTCTGAAGTGGCGTGTTTACTGAAACCAAGAGCAGGTAATAAGTCGGTGCTGAGAAACACATTTCTTCTGTCATTGTAGATGTAACTGTGTCTCCATTGTTGTGTGTGGCTTCCACAGTACCTTACAATCGACCCCAGATGCATTTCTTCCCTCAGGCCTAAAGAGTCTTCCTGCTTAGACATATTAGCCTCAGAGACCGACATATCCTGCTGAGCGCTCCCGCTAACCAGTCGTCCTCCTCCTCCTCCTCCTTCTCATCTTCTTTCTTCTGGCTTTTGGAAACCTCTGACTTGGCTTGTCTGGTGATATTAATAACATTTGGGGCTTGGGTGCCTGCTGCCATTTTTGCAGCTGCTGGGGCATGACTATCAGTCAGGGAGGATTTTCTCTCAATTAAAGGAGAGGAGGGAGCCTTTGGAGATGCTGCTGATGTCTTGGTCTCTTTGGTATCATCCTCTAAAAAGGTATTGTCATCAACTGCCTTGAGGCCTAGCCAGTCGTATGAGTTTTGATGTCGAGTGGAAGTAGGGGTGGTGGGTTTTGATTTCTTCTCTGGAGTAGAGGCACTGACATCCTCTGTGGAAAATCTGATGATAAGAAAACAAGCTACTGTTCAGTTTACCATAGCATAAAGAGCCTAGAGTAAAACACCAAGACTAACCACACACACACACCTGACAGACTGTCTGCGGGATTGGCGTCCTTCAGGTGCAGATCCAAAAGTGGGCTGATAGGATCCAAATGTGAGGTCATCTTCTAAAAGTGCTTCTGATAAATTTAAACAAAATTAGCTTCAATTCATTTTTGCTCACAGTTATGCTAAGCAGGACACCAAGGTGCTCTATTACCTTTCATACCGGAGGGCTTCTCCTGCTGCTGCTGCTGCTTCTCTTGAGGCAGAGGTCGGTCCTTCCTCTCACCTGTGGGTCGTCTCTCCAGAAGATGAGGTGAAGTCAGACCCTCCAGAATCTCTTCTACTCTAGTACGAGCTTTCTGAGGGGCCTCGCTCCTGAGATTGCACACACAGAGACAAAGGGGACAGACAAAAGACATAGCGCATGTCATGTTAGCACATAGAGAAAAACAGGGAAACTTAGACATCTTTGCAAAATCATGCAAAGTCAAGACAAAAGACAAACTTTACTCAGAACCTTGTTATGTGATTAGTTTTTAACAAAACATCATTTCGTGATAGGAGTGAAACAAAATGAGGGAAAACAAAGCTGTTACCTTTCCCTGTTGGACCAAAGCAGAGACTCTTTTTTCTTGGGATTGTTTTTATCACTGTCAAATCCGAGCGCGCCCATCAGGTCATCTTTATCATCATCAAATATAAGTTCACCTCGTTTCTTTGCTGCTTTAGCTGATAATCAAAGAACAAGCACACACATATTCCATGTCTGATGAATAAATATAAAGGAAGCATAATGAAAATTTGAAGGTTTATGTGTTTTACTTTTTAGAATAGGAGATGCTGACAAAGATTGCACAGATTTTTCGGGTTTGGTCTGCTGCATGCCAGCTTTAGATTCAGGCTTGGTTTCATCTGGAAGCAGTTCATCAAACAGGTCAGCCTGGGGGTTGTCAAGATCTGCAAAAGAAATGAGATTCTTTCCTCTTTTTGTACTGTAAAGTAGTAAAATAGGTATGCATTTTATATGGATAGACTTAAATGTTTATGATACATTTTTAAATATCACAAACAAAAAAGTACACATGTACAAATATATTATTGGGCACACAGCATATGTGAATATACTGAGTTACCAGTTTTCTACGTGAAGCTTTTTATACCAGTAGCTAGTGTTGGTGATATGATGAGAGAATTTTTTATATATTACCTTCTTCATGTATGTAAGTAGGGGTGGACAAAATATAAAACAAAACTGGATGCTTCAAACTGTGAAGGTAAATCTGGGTGGGATATCCAACAATTATCACTTTCTATATTGCGCACTGCTCCCATTCAAACTAGCCACAGATACACACAGGCCGATCCACTGACTCTACAAGTAAAAGGTCAAATGCATATCTTGTACCTTTATTGTCAGGTGTCTGATCAAATCCTTCATCATCACCACCACTGTCTGAATTAACGCAGCAGAATGAATGAAAACAGAACAAATTTAGCATTAAATTCACCGTTTTCTGGATGGGTCTACTTTTGTTCTCCTGTTGATATATATATAAAGCCTCGGAGATGGAATGGGACAAGTGGTCTCACTCACCATAGAAGGTGAACTTCTTGTAGTTCCGTGCTGTAGACGTAGAAGGTGCAGAGTTTGGCTTCAACTCTCCTGCGCTGGGTTTGTCTGAGTGAGGTGGAGAACACCCAGCTCTGTCTGATTACTGCTACTAATGTCAACTTCAAAGCCAGTAATAGTGTGAAGCCAATAATGAGAAAATAATTTATGCAAGAACACCCTGCACTGAATTACCTGCTCCCTCTGGTTTTCCATTATCTTCTAATGCAGTGAAGTCTTTCTTTGATGCTTCATTACGAAACGACTTTGTTTGTGAAGGAGCTGAACTGGGTTTTTTCTTTGATGCAAAAAGCTCTGCATCCATATCATCTATGTCCTATATGAGGATAAGCAGACAAACAGCATGCACTGCAGGTGACCCTGTGACCATGTACAGACATAACCAAACTGAATTTCATGTCTCTTTTGTTTATAATTACTTACATTTATGTTCTTCAGTATCTCATTGGGATCTGCTGCTGAATCCTTGAACAGAAAGAAAGGAACAATATGAAAATGTGTAAATAAAAAAGAGGGTGAATGTGTCCCTTATCACATCTCTGTCTACATACCTCAGTGTCCTCATCATCCACATTTATTTCCTCCTCTAGCATACTGAAGATTTTTTCTGTGGCTGATGAGCTGGAAAAGAAAAAATTCTAACTTGCAAACAAGAAGAGTTATAACCTTTTAACTAGTCATATGTTCATCTCTTCCAACTTACCGATTAAGTGGTCCACCGCGAGTTGCTTTCACCCTTACGGGACGTTCTGGTGAGTAAATTGTTAAGGAAAAATATTATCACACATGTACAGTTTGACATGTTCAAGTGTGATCATACCATAATGACCTTACCATTAAGACAAAACTGCAGAACCGAGTCACTTACTTTTCTCATCAAATATGTTGTTATGCACATCATCACCATCTCCTAAAGAACAAGGGAATACACTTTAGACAAGCTTTAACTTATTTTAGAGCATTTTATGTACATGTGCTTCATTTAGCTTATACTACCGTAGCTCTGAAATGTTGTAGCTGTTAGTTGTATGCTGTTTTTCAGTTATTCTGTATTACTAGTACTTTGTAGCATTGTGCCATGTAGTCCTTGACACTGGTATACTGTCTCTTCATCCTGGTAGAGCTATCCTCCAGACAGAGGGTGTTTATGCACTACATATTGTAGACCTGAGACAAACTGGATACATGAAGAACGAGTGTATATTGACTTTTAAGTTAATCCCTGCAAAGTTTAAATAATACAGTAAGTAAAGCTGTGCTTTGCAGATTTGAAGTAACACTGGAGGAACTTACTTTTAGATGGTTTCCCTTTTGGTATTGTAGTCTGTAAGCAACCGTGAAAAATAGTTAGTTATCTTATAGCTTGAACAGATTCATGAATCCACATAAACTCTTAACAGATCCTTATAATGCTCACAGTGGCTCCACTCACCATGATGAAATCTCTGCCGTTAGCGTTAAATGTAAGATTAGCTAGCTAGCTAGCTAGCTAGCTAAATCAGATTAGGCGTCTCCTGTCTCCATTGGTAACCACCGATATACCGCCGAGAATTCATGTGCAGGACACAATGACTTTCACGATTGCAGGACGTCAAGATGGCTACAGATATGTTAGTGCTGTTTCATGCTTTCACATAGCATCAGTCGATTTTCGTGACGTTTAGCATTTTAAAATTAGCAAGTTGATTTATTGTAGCTTAGTTGATGCTTACAGCTAAACCAATCAAACCGCTACAACGCCTGGCGTTAATGTACGGTTGCACGTTAAAACTAGGCATTGTGCATAAAATAATTTAGTCGTCTAACACAAACTTTATAAGCATAAAATACGGATAAATGTAGAATCAATGTAGCTCCTGAACGATTTATTGTAGGATACCACTGTAGCCACCGGCAAGTCGTAGCTACACTTCCTGTTTACAATTCGTGGTGCCTTGTGGGTAGAGTAGTTTTAGCTAATCTTTAGGGAAACGTATTTAAGAAAATGAGGTTTATTTTGGAGTGTGTTTAAAACATGAAGATAGTTATTTAGGACTTTCCTTGACATCTTTACTTGCTTGCCTTTTTTTGGTGAAATTTCCAAACTGTTTCACCACCAGGTGGCGCCATATATTGGAAAATTAATCATAGCAAATTAGTTGCAACAAAACAGAAGAGCTGATCTAGGCTATATCTTGCACTTGTAATCAGACTAGTTTTAACAAGGCCAAATCACCTTTCAGGAAGCATACTGTTCAAAGTTAGGTTTATAACAATATTCCTAATGAGCTTACCTGTACCTTGAAAAAAAAATCAACTGGACTTGGTTTTAGCTCTAAGACGTTTCACCTCTAATCAAAGGGGCTGCTCTGCCCGACTGGCGTTGAGCCATAGATATTCATCCCCATCAGTGGTGTTTCAGTCCTTTGATGGCCAACTATGTCCCCTAACGCCTGAGTCGTAATAGCCTAGTATCGGTGACAGCCAAAGACAGGTAAGGACGGTCATCGATAAATAAATATCTGTGGCTCAACTCCAGTCAGGCAGATCTGTTGAAGCCTAGTGGATGAGAGGTGAAATGTCTTCGACCTAAAACCAAGTCCAGTTGATTTTTTCCTACGTGTTTTTCAGCTTGCTATGACCTGGATGACAGAGAATCTGCACGTACATGTTACCTGCACTTTCCAAAGAACAGGCTATTCAAGTGTCTGAGTAATGGGAATAGATGAACACCTGTGAGAACTGAGATTTCTCCCATGACCACAATGAACAAGCAAAAAAAGCTCAGTTTAAAACATCTTTGTCTGTACTTGAAAGAGTATTGTGTTTCATAATTGTTGCACTGGCTTGCAGTGGGGCGTAGGTAGAAGTGAGGTCTTCATGCAACCTTTGTCACGAAAAATTTGTTCAGTCAGCATTTCACCACTACAGTTTTCTTATAAACTTAAGCTCAAAAACATCTGTTGCACTGTATCTCCTCTGGGTGGTGTGTAAGCCTTCATGCACAATGATTTGTTGTAATTCTCCTGTAATAAAGAAACCTGAGTTTGCATGTCTCATTTCAGTCAGATTTGATTTTATGAGTTATGCTACTGGATAATCTCCATAGACTTTTGTAGATAACCAATGCCCTACATCAAAATTTGGGACCTCTATGGAGTGCAAAAAACAAAAATGACAAAAAAGTATATATTTTTTACATGTTTAGAAATTAGAAATACAGTAATTGTGTTGTAAGATTACACACAGAAGTACATTCAAAATCAGCAATCCAACCTCAACGACTGGTTCAAACTTGTGGACTTATTAAATGCAAATTACAAACAGGCAAACTGCCCATTTGAAATTACAGTAATCTGACATGGGAAAAGATTAATGCTTGACTGGTGTAATTATAAGAAGATTCACACCTTTTCCATCAATAATTAGAAAATTCATAATGTGAATTCATAATGAGAGGCACGCATCAGTGCACAATGCATTTCATTGCTTTACTTAGGTGGTGTGCTTCACCTAAACCTTAGAAGTCAGGATAACTATGCCTGCCATCTACAGTACACTGCCTTTCTCCTGTCCTTATTTCAGAAAAAATAAAGACAGACAGGCAAACTGCCCATTTGAAATTACAGTAATCTGACATGGGAAAAGATTAATGCTTGACTGGTGTAATTATAAGAAGATTCACACCTTTTCCATCAATTTAAGAGAAACTAAATTCTTTAAAAAGCATGCTAAACAAAACATGTTAAAATTCTGGTTATATATCAAACTTTCACTATTTGGTCCTAAAGCAGACAATACAAGTAATGTTGTAAAGTCAGTTGCCATGATGACTATATAGAATTTGTCATGTTACATCTTATAAGTTGTAATTTACCCCAAAGTCACTGAGCTGCTCTTTCCTATTCAAGCAAAACAGGCCTCACTCTTTTACTAGTCCCTTTTCCCTGTTTGGAGTCTTGGTGTGAGCTCGCAAGTGCAGAAAATAAAAGACTACAGCAAAGCACTCCTGTACTGTTTGGGGAAATAGGTATCGGTAGCAGAGGCCACTGAAAAGAGAACACAAAACAAATCAAGGCTTGGTGCTTGTAAAGTTACCAATGAAATACACACCATTTGTTTTCTGGTGTATTCTAGGTGAAATATAGCAAATGGCAGTGCTCACCTGGTGCTTGCAGACTTGGAATGATGACCCACTCTGGTCTTTACTCATGTCTACAAGAGAGAGGCAGCACAAGGACAGTGAAAGCTGCTAAGTCAGGACTGATGTACCATAGTAATCAGTCATAAAAGAATAAACCACACTAACTCTGCTGAAGAAATGTGCCTCTATAAAGGTGATTCAGGTAACAAGTAAAAGATAAAACAGCAAAGGCATTTCCATATAGTGGTCATGTACAATGGTTAGTCTTGTAATTTATATTAAGATCCTTTATAGCTGGATTCAACACTGTGGTTGTGAAGACGTTATATATTTATAATAACCCCCCAAAGAGACGATGGATTGTTGTTGTGCCTTTGAATCATTTAGCAGTGCAGCAGGGAGTACTTTAAAACCAAATGTGGGGCAGGCTTCTTAGCTGTTTATGCATCTGTGCCTCTGCAACATGGTGTTCTGCTCCACCTTCTCCCCTTGTCTGGAGACCCTTCTGTAGCCCAGTTTCTGCTAAAATACTGCAAAATACACTGCTAGGACTGAATAATCATTGAGCAAGGTGAAATTTAAGGTTCAAGCCAAAGTCTTCAGTATTCTTAAAGACACACTCCACTGATTTTACAGATGGGTAATGTCATTACTGGGGCTACAACTCATCAGCAGTTGTATTATGTGATTCTGAATGAGCTTTGTCAAGTCTGAAAATATGACTCTGATGATGCCATCAGGGTTATTTTACCTATCCTAAGAATTACATTAATGTTGAACAATTCACCTCCTCGTGATTTATATCAAGTGCAAAAAATCAAAATCCACTGTTCTTATGCAGAGACGGTCAGTGAACGCAACACACGTGTTGTGTGTGTGACTGGGGGTTAGGAGGATGATTGATTTCACAGCTCTGGGGAAGAAGCACAAACAGACTGTTGCCTGGGTGGGTGGGGTCTGCAGCAATCCGTCCGGCCCTCCTCTGGATCCGGTCAGTGTATAATGAGTCCAGATCCAGAAGAGGACTCCCTACAATGCCCTGAGCTGTTCTCACCACCCGGGTCAAGTCCTTTCTGTCCCGTACCACACTGTCGCACTGAGACAGAGGATGCTCTCTACTGTCGCTCTGTAGAAGTTTGCGAGCAACTGAGAGGAGAGACCAGTGCGTTTCAGCTTTCTGTGGAAGAATAGCCTTTGCTGGGCTTTCTTCACCAGGTAGGATGTGTTCAGAGACCAGGTCAGGTCAGATGAGATGTAGATGCCCAGGAACTTGGTGTTATCCACTTGCTCCACCACCTCCCTGTGTATGAGAAGAGGAGCATGTATTGTCTTCCTGGACCTCCTATAATCTACAATGACCTCCTTAGTCTTGTTGGTGTTCAGGACAAGATTGTTACCTGGAGCTCACCTGGTGTAGCTGCAGGACAAGAGGCTAGTGCTGTTCCTCGAGCTGAGGGAGTTGTACAGTTCCTCTGCTGCCAGGTGTATCAAAGCGTGCAAAGAAACTATTCAGAGTGTCAGGGAGGGTGGGATCATGGCTGACCTGCTGGTTGTTGCCTCTGTAGTCTGTTATTGTTTTGATGCCTCTCCACATACTCTGTGTGTTGTTATTCATAAAGTGCTCCTCAGTTCGCTGTTTGGCCAGCCAAATGCCTTTCTTTAGTTCTTTCCGGGCCCTGCTATAGGCCAGCCTCTCACCTGATCTGAAGGCAGCGTCCCGAGCTTTGAGCAGACGTGACACTGACAGAACTGCACGTAGTCTATAAGCCTCCAGGAATGAGCCCACTTTGAACACCCCCACCGTCAGTGTGCTCAAAACAATCCTGTAATGCTGACAAGCCTCTTCCGTCCACACCTTAACTGTTTTGGTGATTGGTTTTGTTCTGTAGATCAAAGGTTTTTATGCTGGGATCAGTTCCACAGAGATGTGATCTGACATGCCCAGGTGTGGAGCTGCTATGGCCTTGTATGCTCCCCCGTTGTTGCAATAAACTTGATCCAGGATATTACTGTCCCTGGTTGGAAAGCCTGAATTGATGAATCACAGACTAGATATACTCAAGGTTACACTAGCAATTAATTAAGTAAAAGTGTCCCAAGTGAATGCACATTTTCTTTTAAATAAGATGCATCATTCCAAGAACCTTTAGAATTTATTACACATCACTTACTTTTCAGGAATCACAGGAAACGGTGATACCTGGAAAACACAGTGTTACCCAGAAGGCCTGTTTTATAAAGTGGGGACATAGAGTTCGGAAAACACAGATGCTTACCAGGGAGGAAATTCTAATGAGACCTGTTTTACAGTTTTGTCAACTGAATTGTAAACGCCAAAGTTCTGGGTATCCTTTCAATGCCCCCATGGCAGTTTGGTCTATTTGCTCAGTTTGTTTTTATGATTGTTTGTGTTTCCTTACTCTGTGGAACTCACTGAGGTCATTTATGGATTTCTACTGTTCCACTGCTCTTCACATAGGACACGTCCTTCTCGGCGTCCTCTCTCTGCCTGTGACTTGTGATACAGAACATAAACTCAGTATTAAATGCTACACCTTTACCATCACAATACCTAATTGAACATACAGTTATCTGGAAGCAGTTTGGTAAAAACGTGACATCATTCTCATTAAAAAAAAGGGTTTGCTGTTTATTAACTCATGATTATATAAGCTAGCTGTTGCCATGTTCCATAGTGATGTAGCCTCTTGCCATGGTTTGATAAAAAGCTCTTCATTCATCTTTTTATTAAAAAATAAGCTACTGTTAGGTATCAAGCCAATTAATACACACATTGTTACTATAAGACTCTAAAATAATCATATGGGCACTTTCAGATCAGTGGTGCAGGTAAGTCTCTCCTTACCTCTCCCATTCTCACTTAAAGTTACATTTATAAAACTTTTTAATAATTGTTTTGTCAGCCATTAATATGGCATTGTAGTCTAAATCAAAATCAAAACAAGTGGAACAACAACACTTATTTCAATTTCATAACTGAGAACAGGCAGATTTTCTATTCATGCGAGTCTGCAAAAAAACTCAAAAGACAGCTCATGATTTATACTGACGGTTTGATCTTGTTGGAGAACCTCTGCCGCAGGATGAGAGCGATGGTGGTGAGGACCATCATAGTCGTGCACATGGTCTGACCCCAAGGATCTCCTGCCTTGGAAGTGTCGGCAGTTAGAGCATTGAGACCTCTCCTCCAATTGAAACGCTAGAATGGTAAAAGGCAGAGTGTGTGGTGTATTCCTGTCTTTCCTTTTGGAGTGGCGAGTGGATTAGCTCAGAGGATTAGCTAGGATCAAGGAGGGGGTTAGATCTTGCTGGCAGGGCTAGAAGGTGCTTCCGTGCATTGCATGCTGTGCGTTTCCACTCTGAAAATGGCCCACCTCACCAATACAGCGTTAACACAACACGCCAAATCAATCTCAGTGCTGTTTTTTTGTTAAGAAAGAGGAACATTTTGTAAATGGGCCTGTTCAGATTGTTTTAAGTGGCACCCCACCATGTGAATTACTAAGTGCGATGTTTGAAGTTCACTGGGGAGAATACTATTACCCTATTTTTGGTGTATTGTGGCTTTAATGCTATGTTGCCTTTATGTAACTTTTTTATTTTAAGACTAAGTGTTCTTTCTGGCCTTTGACTCCTTACCTGACTCCAAAGGAAAGCTGCACAAGAATTCCTTTATGCCTAGACCATCTGTTAATGCATAAATGGCAATTAAAAATCCTGACTTGACTTGACTTTGGCAGCTTCACAGCATGTGTAAGAGGTAACACGCACCTGTCAAGTTACTGCAAATCTAGATAATATATACTGTTATTGCACTGAAGCTTACTTTGGAAAATACTGGCTCACTGTTCAAGATACCATAGGGCTGCATATAATACCACACCCTTTAATGAGATCCCTGCAGCGTTCCTATTATATTTGATAAAAAGAGAGAGCATAATGGGATAAATCAGGGTGTAAACAGAGAGTTTCAGCAGCTGAGAAAAAGGAAGCAGTAGGTCAAGCAAGAGAAAAGATAGGTCTAATTTATTTTATACATTATTGAGGAGAAATTTAGCAGAGTAAGAATAAAGCAGATATAAGTTTAAAAGGACCTCAGTGTTGTGGATCTGGCATCACATGGCTTTTTTTGTATTTTTATTTTTAAGACGAGTCATAACAGGAAAGAAAAAGTACCATCACCACGATTAACTAATAAAAAATGTAAAATTGTCTTGGTTTTGTTAACATCTCATAAAAAGGACACATGGATACAGACTGATAAAAGGAAACATCAGATTGATATTTGATATAAACATGATATTTAGAAAGAATGGTATTTATGGCAATTATTTCATATACACATTCAGCTGTACACCATGTAGATACACCCTAATTTGGCAGAACCCTGACTTTCAACTTCATAACAATCCCATCTACTTTCCAACATGGCAACGCAAAGGAATCACTCACCTTCATCATCTATTTGAGCAGAATTTCTCCAGTACCAACAGTTAAAATCCATAATTAAATCAAAGATCAATATAATCAACAACCCCCTGTAACCTTCCATGCTAGCCGAGGAGACAAGGAAATGTATAAACTCAAAGAAGATAATATTTAAATATTATAAACTAATGTCATATACAGGATAAGGATAAGGATAGGATAATCACTTTTATTGGCCAAGTATGTTCCACACAAGGAATTTGTTTCCGGTACAGAACCGATGGCAACCATCTGCGGATAGAACAATAACAATACCAACGCTCCCCCCAACCTCGATTTCTGGACTGAGATTTGTAATAATATCTTTTCCATGACTACCAATATAAACTTACAGCTTATACAATACAAGACTATTCACAGGACTCACATCACACAAGGTAAAATGTTTAAAATGGGTTTTATTGATACAGATACCTGCTCACAATGCACTCTGGGTTGCACTGATGATTACCTTCATGCTACTTGGACCTGTCAACTCGTTTACTCCCTCTGGGTAGCGGTGACTGAGAAACCCTTCACCATCTTGAGCTGTAGAATCCCCCCATCCCCGTCACTCTGCCTGTTTGGTAATGTCACAGAAGTTGACCACCTACCAATTAAATATACAAACCCACTTCTTATCTCTCTATCGCCAAGAAAACAAACTTTCTAAACTGGAATTCATAAAATTCATTACACATCTGTCAGGTTTGCTCGGCCGCTCTGGCCTCCCTCACCTTTCCTACTGTCTCTTGCCCATTTACACTAATCACGTTCACCTGTTCCTCACTCCCTTATCACCAGCTGCACTAGCCCCGACTTCTGGACCGAGATCTGTAATAATATCTTTTCCATGACTACCAATATAAACTTACTGCTTGTACAATACAAGACTATTTACAGGACTCACATCACAGAAGGTAAAATGTTTAATTGGTTTCATTGATACAGATACCTGCTTACAGTGCACTCTGGATTGCACCAATGAGTACTTTCATGCTACTTGGACCTGTCAACCCATTTACTCCCTCTGGGTAGCGGTGACTGAGAAACTCTCCACCATCTTGAGCTGTAGAAACCCCCCATCCCCATCACTCTGCCTGCTGGGTAATGTCACAGAAGTTGACCACCTACCAATTAAATATAAAAACCCACTTCTTATCTCTCTATCACCAAGAAAACAATCTTTCTAAACTGGAAATCTAAAAATTCATTACACATCAACCACTGGACCAACCTTTTTATAGAATATATCTCACTAGAGAAAATATCATCCACCCACAAGAATAATATACCAACCTTCACTGACACTTGGAATCCATTTCTAATCTCTTTTAAACTTAAACCAGATACCTGAGGCCGAGGCCACGCACATTCCCACAAACTCCTAGAAATATAACAAGCTGCTTGTTATTTCATCATTGTTATTGTTATTAGTCATCCTTGTCCATGCTACTGTTTTGAGTGTCACACATATCAATCAAACCAAATTAACTGAGAATGTTACCTACCCCCCTTCTTTTTTCTCTCCTCTCTTTCTAATCAATTACTGATTTGTTCATTTCATTTATTTTTGTTTTATGAATATGTCTATACATATATATGGGTATATATAAATATGTGTATGCAAAATGTATAATTGTATTTATATGACTGAAATTGCTTACATTTTTTTTTTATCATTTCATTACTACAATCATCCATTTTCTATCAACTGTCTTTTCTTTCCTTTACATTTAACCCCCCCATTTCTTAATTTATTTGGTCTAATATTATTTTTTTCCAATAAGTACTGAATATCAGTCTGTTATGTATGTTATGTCCTTTGTCCTGTAAATGTTTTATATAAGTTTAAAAGGATCTCAGTGTTGTGGCTCTGACATCACATGGCTTTTTTTATATTTTTATTTCAAAACCTTCGTAAATACAGATACAAAGGTGAGTCATAACAGGAAAATGAAAGAACCATCACCACAGTTAACTAATAAAAAATGTAAAAAAGTCTTGGTATTGTTAACATCTCACAGATACAGACTGATAAAAGGAAATATCAGATCAGCATCACATGATATTTAGAAAGAATTGTATTTATGGCAGTTATTTCATATATGCATTCAGCTGAAGGCACAGCTAAGTCAAATGTGACTTCTTGTCAAGTGCTGGATTTATGTCTGGTACTTTATAACATAGAAAAACAAGGAGGAAAGTTTTTAGTGTTTTACTCTCTCATACACAGATATACACACAGAAACACACATTATTAGCCATGAAAAAGACACAGTGCCTGTTCTTTACATTAAGAGGGTATGTTCCACACCTCATGATTATGTTAATTACATATAACTGTATTCCCAAATTACAGTCAGTGTATTCGTCTCTCTTATGAGTTCATGGCCAAAAATAATAGGTGTTTCTGGGTGTATATGGTCCAGTAAACTAAGAGCATCACCCAGTTCAGGCTGCGACCTTAGTCCAGCCCACCTTGTCGTAGACGGCTGTGACACCAGAGCAGAACATAGCCCAGAATCTGGTCCATGCTGCAACCACATCTGGAGTCATAGCCTCTGGGAACTCTTCTCCCAGAACTTCCATTATCACACCACTCATGATCTGGACAAGACATAAACATATGCACTACTTAATTAAGACACCTTGAGGTTCAATTAAACAAACTGATTTCTTACCAAGAGTTCGATTAAAAGATCAGTGTTAGTGGTAAATATAAAGCTGTACCACCAGGAGAAGGTTAGTTTAGCTTAGCATAACATGGATAGCTTGGCAAAGCAAGTAGTGGATCTCTATCTAAAACTAATAATTTACCAGCAAACAACTAGTTGTGATTTTTTTTGGTGGTTCTCTGCAGGGAGCAGTTGCAAAGTAAGCAGAGGAGAGAGTCATCGTGTCTGGTCAAGGAATAGCCTGGGACATAAATAAACCCCATAAAATCAGAACATAATGTTTTTACACTTTGGTTTTTGTACAGATTAAACAAATGAGATGTTAATCAGTGAGCTTTAGATGTACTTTGCTTTCTGGCTACTTTCAGCTACTTGTTTTGGTTGACTGGTGCCAATGGTTGAGTTGCTTCTTGATATCAAAGAGTAGGCAGCTTCTTTCTAGCTGCACAATATATCAGAGAGCAAAAGTAAAATGAAGTGAATTTAATATCTTGCAAGAGTTTTTCTCAGGAAGATGAAAACAAGCTGGGAGGTAGCAAAAGAGACAACTCATTGGGATGCTGATTTTTCTGTTAGATAAATAAGTAGCCTAACAGTGAACATTTTAGCCATGCAAACCCTTTTTAATAAATCAATATAGTCTATAAAGAACTGCTGTTGTGAGTTTGTCTACCTATTTATAAGTCAAAATTCCCCCCTTATGTTAGTGTAGTAGGGCTACAGGCCTCCACCTTAAAGACCAGTCTACCTTAACTCAGGAGCCCCAGGTGCAGCTTGTTACAGTCATTATATAAGCTGAGCAGCCTGAACTAGTGTGGACAATCCTTACCCCTTCTCTGACTTTCTGTAAGACTTTCCAGGTGCTTCTTCTGGTTTCTTTCTTTGGGTCACCAGTTCATATATGTAAACAAGTCACTTCTTGTGCAGAAGTGGCAAGTAGTTCCTCTTTTGGCTAGGCATTATTTGGCACCCTAAATCATATATTATTGTAAACATTTCCTAAGTGCCCTGGCTTTTTATATCTATTTGTCTTTTGTTTTTCATTGCAAGCTGCGGTTTTGCCTGGGATTTAGTGCAGTGCTTGTTTTTCATAGTTTACTTCTTGGTGCCTTTCTTTATATAGTGTAAACTTGGCATCTGTAGCTCCTATAATAGTTTGTTTTTTATGTATACTGCTCAAAAAAATACAACACAAATAGTTGAATGTCTTATTTTTGTGTTCCCTTTATTTTTTTGAGCAGTGTATATTGTATGTAGACACCTGCTGGGACAGGAGTCTTGTGGATGCCTGTGTTGGGGGTGGACACAGTGCAAATAGACTTTTTGAAAAATGCTGCCTGCCTTTGTTTTGCTTGGCACCTGGGTTTATTCAAGCCCTACCAAATGGCCACATTAGCAAATTTTACTGTAGTTAGCCTAAAAAGTAAAGCAATTAATGTTTGTGGCTAATTGGACTCTAAGAAATTATGGTTTAAAAAGTGGCTTGTATTGTATGCAGATGTTTCACCTCAGCCCCACCCAGAATTGCTAGATTGTGAGTGCAGTAATTTGCAAAGTGGCAAGCAAGGATCCAATCCAGGGAACAAAGTATCCTTGGATGTCCCACAGGTAGCAGAAGCTATATTTATAGTTTTGGTATTGTATTCACATACTGTACCTTGAAGTACATGGGATCCACCTTGTGTGCCTGTGCGTGGGACTTGCCCAGCGCGTTCATCTCTGAGGCCACCACATCTGAGTTGCCAAGGTTCTCCACCATTTTATTGAGGGCAGTCATGATTGTGTGAGCCTGCTTCCTGAGCGGGGCAGTCCCCTTCAGCTCCTCTGGATTCTGAATTTGTTTGAACTGGCTGAAGTACTGCTTGGTTTGGGGGTACTTCGTAAACAGGCTGAAAAAGAGGAGACTTGGAATTAAATGACGGTTATGATTATGAGCAGCTGCTGTGGAGCTTGACTAATCTCATTGCCCTTCAGCTTGTAAACTCGCAGGTTTTTTTTTTTTTTTTTTTGGGCTGACAAGATAACATAGGTAAACACCAAGGTTGATGTGGAAGTTCTGCACATCATTGAACTATCAGTAACAGCTGTTTGCCTTGAATGTAGCAGTTGGGAGGAATTCTGTTTACAGCACATTATAAATTTGGCTTTGATAAAAGCATGTCCTAGTTTATTGTAGGTTGGCTTGGGTGTCTGGTTCCACACTGCGGTTTCTGTCGTGCCTCAAAAAAGAACTCTGGATCAGGAACAATTCCACTTTCTAATAAATGTGGTCATTAGAGGGAGCGACTTAAAGTGCCACTCCCTACCCAGGCTCCCATGAAGTTTTGTTCCGGGTCTAGATTTTGATACTTCCGTGCACATCTCATACAAAATTCACTGCACTGACAGCAATCAATCAGTTCAAAAATATTTAGATTTTTATCTGTTTGACCCTAAGAAGTATCACAGAGAATTAGAAAAGCAGAACCTAGTGTATAAACCCACCCCCTTCCAGAGTCTGGGAAGAGAGCCAGTGCATCTGGCTATCAAATCCTGATGTTCTATCTCTGTTTCTGGACCACCTCACAAAAATGAAGTGACAAGTGAACTGTTTTCTGTGAAGTCTGAAGCATACGACTCAATATAAGAGCTTCACTTGTGAAATGTTTGAAAATGGAGGATGGAAGGTTGTGTCTTAATCTCTAAGCTCAGGGTGGAGGGCCTCTGCAAGTACTGGAGCAAAGAATTTCTAATTTCACTGCAAACTAATGAGGAACTGTGGTGTTTCATCTCTTGTAATTTGTATGACCTGTGGTAGCATATAAATAGCCTCATTAGTATTTTGGAGTCAGTGGGCTCTGAATCCTTGGTTTTTCCATTCCAGAATAGTTGAAGAACTGAATCCAGAGAAAGTTCCTAAATTCAGAGACACACTGCTGTAATTTGTTACTCTGGATTTTATCTGTTGCCCTGAAGACACTTTGATTTCTAATCGATGTTAGCTACAGGAGCTGCTCTCACAGACAAAAGGTCAATTTGCCTGGCCATACTCATCAGTCAGTCTTCATTCCATGAAATTTCTGAAGGTTGTAGAGTTTTGTGAAGCAATTTTGAAGTAGAAAATAAGAGGGGGGGGGCAATTGACTTTTACTTTCAACATGTTTAGCAGAGAAAGAAGAGTGGGTAGGATACTTTTAAGTGCTGCAGCTAAATCTTTATATTTAGCCTATGAAAACAATACATGTTTGTTTGTTTTTTGTAAAAGACTAGCTCCCTCTCAGCTTTCATCTTGTGTGGTCATAAGGGATTATTAAGGCATGTTGTGTCATCCAGTGAACATGTTCACAGTGAAAGCTCATCAAAAGCCTCAGAACAACATTTTCAGAGTCCCTGCAGACAACTGTGTTTTGGAGCACTCTCTTTTCGATAGGTCCGATATAAACATTTAAAAAAAAACCCTCCACAGGAAAACCATGCTCATAATAGAAATTAATTAATCTAGTAAAGATCAAGCACACTTAGTGTGACAGAAAAGTCTGTCAGGTTGTGTTTTTGTAGAAAAGAGGTTTTTTTGTTTAAGTGATGGAGTCATGTTGCTCCATCATTTACCATGCTCCCTAAACAGGCACACCACATGCAGAAACTTGTCAAGTTTTTGGGAGTAAACAAGTTTAGCATCAAAAGCATTTCGATGATATTTAGGATTATGCTACAGCGTCAGTAGACCTTGAGTCTTCTGCAGGGATAATGATGTTACTGACGGGGAAAGAGAAATTTGACCTCTTTAGGAGTGTATTAAGTAAAGTTGTAGTCATAAGGAGGAAATTGAAAAAAGCCCCCCAAAATAATTGAGATACCTAGGTTGTGTAAGCAATATGCAACTGCTGACCAGTAAATAAAGCGACAGCAAGCTGCATATAAATACATGCACAACCATATTTGTAAATATCAAAATAGCTCAACTATGACTTCTCCCTTTTCCACACACCTTTGCTGCCATTTGTTCTTTATTTTTCAACCATGATTTTTCTGTCACAGTAAGATAAATATCTTCCTAAGTCTGTGCTCCATCTACAGAGTAAAACTACAGAAAGAAATACCTGATTATTGATGTCATCCCAACATCATCACTCTTCGGGTAGATTTTTGCCCAGGAGCCCTGGATCACCTTCTTCTCCTTGTCAGTCAGTGGGCTTGATTGGTCCATGTCCTGTTCTCAAACTGGGAACACAGTTATGCAGAGCTTGAGCATGTGCAGAAGGCAAAGCTGATGAGAGTATACTCAAATAAAGACAGTACGTTTACCTTTCACTTCTTCTATTTGGTGAATGAAACTTGTGTCCCTTTCAGCTTTTCAGCCTGAGTGAGAATCTTTGCTCCCCACTGCTGAATCTCTGCGGGGTGACAGTGTAAGTGAAGAAGAGGCACAGAAAACACAAGAACTACATGCAGCGAATGAAAAGGAGCCTCTGTACTCTCCCTGATATACTCTCCCTTCCCTCCCTCCCTCTCCTCTCTCCCTCTGCCCACTTCACCTTTGTACATAGTGTATGAAGAAATCATGATGAGATAGAAAACAAATCCTTAATAAGAGAGTCAGATATGCAATGTGTGAGCATGTCAGATTATGTTAAAATAAGATAAAGGAGCACACTCTGACTTTTTCTTCCAGAGTCACCACTCCAAAATATCTAGATTGTAAGAAATGTAAGAAACATTTTGTTTTGCTGACTGAAAAAGCATGATGTCCATCTGAAACTCTATTAATTTTGCTCTGTGCTTTGTACAAGATACAGATTATATCACTGTTTTCATCACTTTAATATTTTCATTACATGCACAGGCCGTTTACTGTGGCAGGGGAAGTCGTAGCTCACTTGTATTGTCACATCTGAAATCTTCAGAAGGTTCTTGTTCATAAAGTTTCATGAGTGAGGTGACTAGCACCAATAAGAAATTGCTGTTAACTGTTAAGGGAGAGCAAATATTGGAGCACTGAATGGACATCAAATACTGCAACAGAAGCTATGATTAAGATGTAGAGATATAGTGTACACACCCCTGTTAAACATTGACAGTCCTTTACCATTAACAGTCAAGTTGCTGAAACTGTGCTTAAAGCTGCATTAACTAGGTTTTAGCACAAAGTTGGATGAATCAGGTGAAAATTTGTCTAGAAGTGTTTTCTCCCTTCTCTACTAAACCACCCCACATCACTTTGCTATCTTCAGGCCTTGTGTTTATTTCACTGACTGTAAATAAAAGCTGGACAAACCAACCGTGACATCACCCATCTGAAGAAGCGGCCATGCTTTAAGTGACAGTTGTCATGGAAGAGGAAACTATCTAAAGAAACCAAAACTGTTTTTTTGTACCAGACTGTAAACATGTTTATTTCTGCTGTAAATTTTGGACATTTTAAAATTGGAGTCTATGGGGATCCACTCCCTTTTGGAGCCAGCCTCAAGTGGCCATTTGAGGAACTACAGTCCTTTTTTTTCAAAATGTATATAAATTAGATTAGATTCAATTTTATTGTCATTACTCAATTGTTCATGTATAGCACATATTTATAATTATAATCAAACTCAGTGGTCAAAGATCTGAGGTCTGGCTAGAGGAGGAGATCAGGTTGCTCTGTTATGTTTCTTGTTATGTTTCTACAGAAACATCAAGATTCTATTTGCTTTATGACTATTTCTACTGTTCACACCCACACTAGCAAGTTCAGACTGATAGGAATAGTGTTATATCTCTAACCTCCGGTTCCCAGAAAACCAAATATCTCATGATCTCATTATGGAATATCCTAAGGCAAAACTCTACTCAGTGGATGCAGGGCAAGTGACATCTAGTGGACATTTGGAGTATAACCACGTTTCAAGATGAACCTCGGACAGTTAATGTCTAATCATTAACATGTAAAATGTCATAACTCCATGAGTCAGTGGTCTATGTAATTATACTAATTAAGATTATGACAAACGAATTATTAGGTAATTTTAAAAATGAATATTTCACAAAAACTAGTTTTGTTGTGTTTTTTATTTTTATTTTTTTGGAAATGTGCTTTCCTAGTGATGAAAACTAAGTGCATTTACATCAGTACTGTACGTAAGTACAATTTTGAGGTATCTGTACTTGATTATTTTCATTTTATGTTACATACTTTGACTTCACTACATTTTAGACGCAAATATTTTACTTTTTTACTTCACTACATTTATTTTATAACTTTAGTTACTAGTTACTTTTCATAACCAGATTAATACAAAAATACAGTGTAATTATAAGACCTCACTGGTGTATGGTGGAAACAAGCTACTCAGCAGTACTTCAAATTAAACGCATATAAGCTCATTAAAACTGCTCACGCTGAGCCTCCTGGTGCGGGAGCAGAGGAGCATGCGGGGCTTGTCAGATGGGAGGTGAGTGAAAAGTCTATGGTTATCGTGAGATGATATAACCGAGTAGTTATACAGTATCATTTACTTAGGTAAATGACCTGAGTACGTCTTCCACCACTAAACAATCATTATGTTCAAACAAAATCCATGACGCATAATATGACTCCCAGTCAAAACCTATGGTCTGCAACGCGCAGCAGAAAGATTGACCCGATGGGGATTCCGTAGTAGTTAGGCTTCACTGCTTCGTGGGTGACAGGTGTTCCGTTTTTCGTTAACAAACGGATAGTTCGTTAGAATAACGAAAAATAGTTTTTTTGTTTTGTAAACAAGTTCGTGTTCCACGCTGAAGGCCATTTCATGTAGATTAGCTCACACATTAGGCTAGTGTGTGGTGGGTAGGTAGCCCGTTAGCTAACGGCGTCATAAGCAGAAAACCGACAACAAACGCTGTGTTTAGTGGGGACAAAGTGCTGCAGCTGTCTGGGAAAGAAACCACCAAGGTGTGCCGCAATGAATGTCGCTAAAAGTGGGTATCGCGTCTTTTCCGCGAACTCGTCCGTATCGGGCACAGAGCTGGCAAAGAAAATAACAGAGTAAGCTTCAAATTCCTGACGTTGCTAACTTGCTATTACTACTTTTAACGACTGACAGTTCAAGTTTAGGAGCATGTTGTTTTCAAAGGGCCAAGTACTAAGACACGTAAGGCTGTGAAGACAGAACATTTGCAGAAACTATCAAAGCACGTTAGACGCTATCAGTTTTTAAAATTTCGCCTTGACTGTTGTTGTAGTGTTGTGGAATTGACAGAGTACTTGAGCAATGCATGCAGCTCATTTTGCATGACCAGTGAATGAATGTATGGATGGATGGATTTGGTTTGCATGGTTGCATGTTGGTTTGTGTGTGAGATGCTGCATTTGGCAGTGGCCTTGCATGTCACAGTTGATCACAATGTTGTGTTCTTGTTTCACAGGCGGCTGGGAGTTGAACTGGGGAAGTCTGTGGTCTTTCAGGAATCGAACAGAGGTGAGGAGAATATTGATGTATTAATGTTGCCAGATAAGGGGACGAGTAACTGACATTTAACTGACACTTGGCACCACATCTTGTTTTCAGAGATTGGATTGTGTAGCTTACATCTTTGCTACATGGGCCAGGTTACCAGTAGTGGGTTTTGACTGGCATCACACAGGGCTCGTCTTTGTGATCCACATATATATTTTCCCAAAGGAAACGAAGTTAGCGGACATATAGTAGTAATGACCCAACTCAACACTCCCCCCCTCTCCATTTGAAACCTGTACATTTCACTGTATGGAAGGCTAGATATTACTATGGCCCTGAAATCTGAGTTGGTGGCTGAATTAATATAACAGTTCTTTGTGAAGACTTTCATAAATAAACTTGATCTAATGTGGTGTGATCCTGTTATTGCAGACTTTGGGATCAGTCCTTAATGGTGTGTGATATGTGTGCAGTGAAGGTGTACAGTACAGTTAGTGAAAACTCAAAAACACATACTTAATAGAACTTAAAACTTGAGCTTGTGCATTAATGTGTGCATTTTCTAAATCAACTGATCGTGTTTTACTTTTTTTTTTCTTTGTACAGAGACTAGAGTGGATGTCAAAGAATCTGTTCGTGGACAAACTATCTTTATCATCCAGACAATACCAAGGTGATTATAGAAAGACCTGCCATTTGTACTGAAGCAGGAATCTGAAGAGTTCATACCATAGATGGCCACTAACGTTTCTCTCTGTTTTTGCTGCTGCCAGAGATGTCAACACAGCCATCATGGAGCTGCTGGTTATGGCCTATGCCCTCAAGACCTCTTGTGCCAAGAATATTATTGGAGTTATTCCTTACTTCCCCTACAGCAAGCAGTGTAAGATGAGAAAGAGGGGCTCAATTGTGTGCAAGTTACTAGCTTCAATGTTGGCTAAAGCAGGTAAAGCCCACAGTGCATCTTAAGTGTTTTATTTCTTACCATCATTGGTGTTATTTGGTGTTTTGAATTGGTGAAATTTCATGTCTCTTAACCAAAAGGATTATCACACATCATCACCATGGACTTGCATCAGAAGGAGATCCAGGGCTTCTTCAGCTTTCCAGTGGATAACCTGCGTGCCTCCCCCTTTTTGATTCAGTACATCCAAGAAGAGGTGATATTCCCATCAAACATCTGCTGTGTGTGTCTGAGTAAAGATGCTGGAAATCCCAGCTAAAAACTAAACACATCAGTCAGTCTGATGGAAACACTGACATCAGTTTTCCTTCCTCCTGTCAGATTCCTGATTACAGAAATGCCATCATTGTGGCAAAATCACCTGCAGCAGCTAAGAGGTAACTGATGGGGGGGAAATTCACTATGCCACAACTATTCAAACATACAAATGGTTCATACACACAGATCAGCTATAACATTATGACCACTGACAGGGGAGGTGAATAACATTGATTACCTCGTTACCTGTCAGTGTGTGGGGTATATTATGCAGCAAATGACGAATACTGTACACTGGTCTCTATGTAGAGAAACATTCAGCGGCCATAGTGGTGATATCACGCTCAGAGTGGGGAGGCCGTTGAATTTGTTAAAAAAATTAACTTGTCTTCACAACTGCAATTTTCACTCCCTTATCATATTTTTATTACTAAATGATAGACAAATGCACGCTGTTTAAGACGGTATATGTAAATATGGTCAAACTGAATCACAGAAGATGCACACTGAGCTGCAGACTGATACGAGTGCCAACCAACTGCCACGTTGACTCCTATGTACGCAAGTATTAGGCAGGTGGTCATAATGTTATGGCTGATTGGTATAGGAGCTGTCTGCAATGTATGTGACTAAATATGTGTACAAAAAGGGTGTTGGTGTGCTGTAAAATATGTAACTGATAAGAGGGAAAAGTCTGTGTTTGCTACATTTCACCTTTGCATTCCAACTTTCTTTGTCTTTTTTTTATTTTTCTAGGGCTCAGTCCTATGCAGAACGCCTGCGCTTGGGTCTGGCTGTGATTCACGGCGAGGCTCAGTGTTCAGAGTCTGACATGGCTGATGGAAGACACTCGCCACCATGTGTACGCAACACCACAGGACACACGGGACTGGAGCTGCCTTGTAAGAGCACCGTCTATGTAGAGCACTTTAGCTGCAGATTACTGATATATTTTATGTGTACAGATAACACATTCACATGGTTGGATTCCTTTTTTATTTGTCACCCCATGTTCAAATTAAGCCAGAAATGTTCAGTTAGTTTAACTCCTCAGTGCTTCAGAGTTTAATATCTCAACACTTCACTGCCAATAATAAAAATCCTGGCAACGACCTAATATAGCTTTTATCTGTGCTAACATTTGGAGCTGATGATTTTGCTGTTTTTTGCTCATGCCATCAACCATAACTCGAGAAATTGAGTTGTGTGTTATTGCATGTTTTTGTTCAGTAGATATAGTACTTGTGCTCATGCTGCATCTTCAACAAGCTGCAACCCCTAACTTACAGTGTGATGTGTTTATCATGGTCCCTGTCTGTTTCTTGGCACATACCTTGATATAATATATAGTTTTGGAAGGAGATATAGTAAGGAAACTCTGACATAGACTTCCATGTGTTGCAGTGACAGTTCTTTGTACAGTAAGACCATTATAATGGTTCAGTCTGCAAAAAGATGAAATGATTGTGGCATTGGCAAATGACTCCAAAGTATTTGCGTCCAGTATTTACTTTATTATTTGGTTAAGAAAGTATCTATTCTTACTTTTCTCTATTCTTCACATCGACTTAAAAAAATCCTCCTTCCAGACAGCAACCCAGATAGTTAGTTTAAATTTCAGCACAATGAGTTTGATTTGGGAGAGGATTTTCCAAGTCTTGGCATCTTGTTTGTCATGTTAAATATGTGTTAACGTGGTGTTTATTTGTTGGTAATAGCAGGCAAACAACAAGCTCCGTTCCCTGGCATAGAGCTCCCAAGTACGACCCAAAACTTAACTTGCATCTGACTATGAAATGATTCCTCTTCAAGTGGCTCCTCAATTTGTGCATGTGTACTAGGGTTTGTGTAGCATCTTGTGAAAATACAGTCTGGAAATCAGGTGTCGGGTTGTGAAAAATGCACACACTGATTGTTAGTGCCTGGGCAGTTTGGATTGACAAAACCTTTTCGGGCCAGTCTCTGATTACTCTACCTGCATGGCATGTTGTACCTGAAAGAAGCAGTGTTTACTGCACCTTTCTAAGATTCCAGACGTATAGTTCTACAAGATGGCCAAAACCCTCTTTCTTTTTGTTGTGTTCACATCCATAGATCAAACCAGAACCACTCAAACATTTTTTTTTTGTTGTGTTTATTATTTTAGTAAATATCTGGACTCATCTTGCCAATCAACACACCCATATTAAACCTGCCCTCAAATACCTGATTAACATTTGGTCATGACTGCATGTGGTGATAACAGTACAGCATGCTTTTGAAACCTAACCTCTAATGAAGGGAGGGAGAAACGCTATGAATAGAATATTTGGTACATTCAAACATTCACTTCCTACAGCCCAGATGAAAATGATAAAAGACTCATTATGTCAGCAGTAGTGTAGCATTAGTCTTTAACCTCTGTGGTAGAAGTGCCAAGCTGTTAAATCTTTACCAATAAAATCCATTTAATGTTTTAGATTTGTAATAGAATAATGTTATTTAATGGTTTTATTAAAAAGTTTAAATGGGGTGCTGCCAAACATTTCTCAGGCAGCAGCAGTAATGACAACATCTTTGTAGAAGTGTGTGTACTGCTAACAATATGACCTTTACTGTTTTAGAAGTCTGAATGTGACACTGCCAGGTTTACTGGCCGTGGGATCCACAGTATTGCGTGTTCTGCAAGGCGTGCTCCTCCTCTGCTTCTTTATACAGTGGGTACAGAAAGTATTCAGACCCCCTTAAATTTTTCACTCTTTGTTATATTGCAGCCATATGCTAAAATCATTTAAGTTCATTTTTT